CGTGAACACGGGACGTACCTGTCGGTCTCCTTGTGCCAGACAGATGTTCGTTGTTTGTATGTGTACATTGTTTACCGGTCGTTCTCCTTGTGTCCGACAGATGTGAACACGGGACCTCCAGCACTCGAGGCAAAGGCCATGCCCCAGACCACTCAGTTTTCCCGTTATGCTCTGTTATTGAAAGATAAGGACGGTTCTTTCGTTATATCCTACCTACCTCCCGCCCCCCACCCCCGGCTTGCTTCCCTCACCATGGACCACGGACCCACGCGCAGAGAAGACGAATCAATAATCTATTAGTGCATTTCTCATACAAAGAAAGAAGCCAAAATTACGTCACTGATTACCACTGTTGTTATGAAACCCGCTTTACTGACATATTATCATAATCAATATCATAAATAATGCAGACTGCACGCCCGAGCTGTGTACGTGTGACTGTTTGTTCCGCTCCGATAAACACATATTGATTTTCTAAATCTGCTATCAGAATCACTGGGACGTGAAGTTAGGGTCAATAGATTTGCCCAGACGGAAGGGGTAGTATTTGATGTCATTGTTGAGTGTGGACCCGAGTGTTCCGGTTCTATTCAACCGTGATAGAACCTAACATGATTTATGGCAGTCATGAGTAAGTAAGTAAAAAAAAAAAAAAAAGTAAAGGACCCTTTCCACGCCTTTAGGCGTATAGGGCATATAGGGCTAGACCTATATTTTTATAAACCAACGGCACAAGATGGGTGATGTGGTCAGCATCACGCCGGCCGCCTCTACTTCCCGGGATTGCACCCCGTACCCACTCAAGGCTGGGTCGACCTGGGAGCCAAGGTCATTTTTGAAGTCCGTCTCCGCCAGGGAGCGAGCCCACGACCTTCCGATCCGCGGCGCGCGTCTAGCCGCTCTGCCACGGCGACTCCCACAATCATGAGTAGAAGATTTTAACTGAAATGGTTGTAAGGTAATCGAATCATACACATAAATTTAAACATCCATACTCACAAACGACGTCTTGCAGTTATAACCTTGGCTGCGGTGATCGTTACGGGTGCTCTGTAATTTCCCTGGAGCTTCTTCATCGCGTTCAATGGCGGTAAATCCGGAGGAAAGTTCTGGCTGTTGGCCAAGTTCTGGACTTTAGTCTTATTCCAGAACTTGAGTTTGAGTGCACATCGTTTTACAGATCTGGTTTATTTGTATGCAGACTGTTGGTTCTCCGCCTATCATGCAGATGCTCTCCGACTTAGAAGGAAGCCCATAATTAGTTTACTGTTACGACATGCTTGTTGGGAATGCAGTGGATCTATTCTTGTTTTCCGCCACAATGGGGCCACGTACCCTACAAGAGGGGATCTGTTCACAGATCTTTCAACAGATCTTTCCAAAGATCTCTCCTCAGATCCTTCCACAGATCTTTCCTCATATCTTTCCTCAGATCTTTCCACAGATCTTTCCACAGATCTTTCCTCAGATCTTTCCACAGATCTTTCCTCAGATCTTTCCACAGATCTTTCCACAGGTCTTTCCACATGTCTTTCCTCAGACCTTTCCTCAGATCTTTCCACAGATCTTTCCACAGATCATTCCACAGATCTTTCCTTAGATCTTTCCACAGATCTGTTTTCAGATCTTTCCACAGATCCTTCCCACAGATCTTTCCACAGATATTTCGTCAGATCTTTCCCACAGATCTTTCCACAGATCTTTCTAGAATTCACAAGACGTTCCACTTTTCATTCTCCCACAACAGGGCCAACAAATGATGACTGTCTCGTCCTGAAGTTTGCGATAGGTTGTCTTCGGGCCCTGGCCTCTTTCCTGTAAACAGTCTAGATACTGGATAACTTCGCCATCCTCGTCATTATCTTCTGCCACTTGTGTCGTTGAGCGGCGTGGGGAGGAATAGTTGATAGCAGATGGAGGGGGAAGGGGCGTTATTCAGTTTCTTATACATGTTCTACGGCGAGGAATAGAGGCTCCAGGGGCTTCAACCTTGTTTAGATGTGCAGTATAATAATAAAGATAATAATATAATAATGTGCTGAATGTTAAATAAATATAATAAAATTTTTAAAGTAATTTGACGTGTGTAATAACATACCGAATCACAGAACTTTTGTGTTAGGGGACCCCTAGTCTGCCTATAAACTGCGGAGAAGGGGTGGGGGAGGGGGGACTTAAAGGGAGCTAAGCAATAAGCACCAGATTCCAGCGCCAATGCCTCGATGGGGATTCGAACCAAACCACAAGACGAGACAGGAAACTAGCTAACCATTGCCTTACAGTGGCTCGCATAATTGACACAGTGTACGGTAGTAGCGCCCAGACACGTAGCTACCTACTAGCTACAAATATTCCCATCAGAAAATAAATTAATTCCACTTGAGGCATTCCCAGGAAAGACGGACTTGGCGTGGGCGTGCAATTCATTTCCTGGCAGCGAACGGTGGTTACAGGCGGGAATGTATCAAGCCGTCTTCACAAGTAACAAATCGGGGGACTAGGACAAAACTCTTCTTCTTTGTTCTTCTTCCTCCTCTCCACCTCCACCTAATAC